CTTCCTGGGAGCTTTTTCGGTCAGCTGAACGAAACTGTTAACCGTGGCGGTCTGTTTTCCGGATTGTCTGTAGGCTGTGCGCAAGTAAATGAAGAGTTATTAGCCCGGCTCTGCTACAAGCCTTGAGAAGCAGTGATCCGAGCATTAGCAGACTTGGAGATGAGCTTCTGCAGTCTTGGGGTGCAGGGATGAATGAGAGTTCGTGTTGAAACTACAACCTCGCCTGTAACTGTTAAGAACTTCATTCAGGAAAAAAAGTACTTTCCCTTTTCCTGTTCCTCCCAAGCAGAAAATATTTGGTGCTCCAACTGTTTTGGTTTTTAAGGAGAAAAGCTTGTGCAGACAACTTTAAGAAGCAAGCAGCTTTAGCCAATCAACAGGACCCAGTGTTGGAGTGGGAAGGAGAGGTGCATGTCCTTAAGCTGGTCACACTTAAGGCACTCATTCTTAGTGAGTTGAGGGTACCGGTAAAGTTGCTCTTGATTTAAAGAGTGGTGGCTCCTCTTAATTCTGGTATGCAGACAATTTTAGAGAAAGTTTACATCTTCTTGGAAAGGGTAGAGGGTAAAAAAATAACTACTACTGAGGAGGTTGTGATAGCTCTGGTGATAAAAGCAAACCTCAAATACCAGTACTGATATCGCCATTGGATTTTTACATCCAGCACAAACTCAAGAATGATTAAAGTCTCTGTTTTATGAACCAAAGTGTTTCTAGCTGCTGCTGATGCCATAACTATATTTACCAGCCTGCTCACTATGTAGAACTGGATTGTGTTCAAATGTGGAAGACAGAAAAATCAAATTACTTGGATTTTAATCCCTCTGAGATCTTCTGATGCAGGTTAAAAGGTTCCTTCTGTTCATCCTGTCCTACAGCTCTTGTTGGCAACAGTGCCAGCTATGACTCCTCTGAATTGTTGTAGCAGTATTCTGCTCCTCTGTGAAGTGCCGTCTTTCTGAGCCGTTCCTGAATGAAGGTGAAAATTGTGTTAGTGTTTAGAAGTGGTTCAGTATGTGGAGGTTGACTTTTCCCCTTGGCAGTTCCCAGTTCCATAACTGCCTTTTTCTGTAGGTTGATAATATGTTAATTACATAATTGGGGAAAAATGACTTTATGTAGTTCTGATGCAAATTCCATGTCTTCTGGAGGGGAGCATTGATTTAGGGGATTTTTGGTACAGTTGAGATCAGAGACTGCTTTTAAGGTAGAAATAATGATAGAAATGCTTTTTAAGAAATTGTGTATGTCTTTCAGCTCTCTGTAGGGTCCAAATCGAAATGAATGAATCATAATGGCCTGTCTATTGCTGGACTGCGTGGACCAATCAGCTGATTACATAAAACAGTGTCATAAATTGTAATCCTTTCAAAGTGATTCTGGAATCTTATTCTTCTTCAAAAACTGATGTGTACTTGACCTGTCAGTTTAACGTCTCGCTTGCTATATGGTAGAAGCTGGAAAAGCTACTCTGATATGGTAGGGAGGACTTGAAGTCTTGTATTAATCAGTATGAAAAAGAGAGGGGAAACACATTTTATACAGCAATAAAATTACTGTATTCTGATTCCTTTGTAGTTAAAGCAAATACAAGAGTAGAATTTGCTCTGCACAGTGCAGGAGGCTTAGGATGACAGAAATCTGTCTTTTACCCTGGTCATTCTCAGACCGACAAATTGGGTAACCTGTTCAAAGTCCTGAAATAGAAAAAAAATTGTGAAAGGAAAACTGATCCTGCTTGTGGAGTAGAATAGCTATGGTGATTTATACCACGTAATGCAGCGGAGAAGACTGCCTTGTTAAAATGAAGCTTGACCAAGAATCATCTGCCCTCTACTAATCTTCTGCAGAATCTGTGAGATTTGCTCTTTCCAAGCAGGTAGTAACTAGCCAGCAGTTAATGCCGTGGTTTTAAGTGGAGTTTTAGATTTACAAATTTGCTGTTGTTTTAGTAATGATTCGGTTTAAAATGAACAGTTCATATAAACTTAGCTATGGAAACTGTTTTTGTTGGGTGAAGAAGGTTGATTGGGTTTTCTGAAAGGTATTGTTGACTCCTTATAAGAAGTTGCTTGACTTCCTTATAACTGTTTCCATTAAAGTTCAACATTACAAAGTTAGGAGCTTGTCTTTCTATCTTGTACTGTTGCTTGGAACTGGAGCAACCAAGAAAGGTTCTCCAGAGGCAGGCTGTTCCGGGAAGGCAAGGACTGGTGCACAGGAATAACTTCAAACATTGCTTTAATAGGTCTCTCAAGTTTTGTGATTCTCTACTGTTTCATTATTTGACAAGATGAGTGCAACGTCTGTGGTTTTTTTTTTCCAGATTTGGGTTCCTAGCCTGAATCAGAAGCTAGTGGAAATGTTTACATTAGAAACTTGTGCTGTCCTTGTCTTGCTTTTTTGCCTTGATAAAGAGAACATCCTTTGATAGGGTTGTTGGTAGAGTTCATCTTTTGGTAGGAATTATTTATGTAAAGCTTTTGGATGTGAGTAATAAGTTAGCGTGGTTGAAGAGTTTATTTGCCTCTTAAAAACTGGCAGAATTGAAAGTGCACTCCCTTTTCTGTTGGTGCAATTGAAGCTTGGAGCATAAACCTTAAAGCAAGTGAGCCAGAAGCCCAAGTTGGCTTCTGCCAAGCAGGCTGTAAAGGTGCTGAAGTAGTAATGTCTTAAAGTTACTGCAAAGTCTGAGAGCTGTCCGTCAGAGCCCTCAGAAACCATCAAAACAAACTTGCTTGAATTTGAGAGTCCAATAGTGCTTAACTAATCAAAGTGGTAGTCAGCTACAGCTTTGAGAGTCTGGTAGAGAGGCGAGTTAACACTTAAGTACTAAATTTTGCTTGACCTCTAGCCTCAACCTTATCTCATTTCTCAATTAAAAAAAAACCAAAACATTTGCCTAGCAGATGATGTGGAATAGGTTTTCCCAGCTAAAAGTAGAGAAAACAGTGTTGCATGAATTGAGCAGTATTTTATATTTACTTATGCCTGCAGGAAATACGTATGTAACTTAAACTTACGTTTCAGGATTAACTGTAACCTCTATTCATTTTTTTCTCTAAGTACAGTTTAGAAAATGTAAGATAATTATGTGGTGTTCAAGTTTTGCTCAGCTTACCTTCCTCATTACATTGGTCTATTGATACTATTGAGCTAGTTTGTCGTTATTTGGTCACCATTTAGTCAATATATTGGCTTTTCATACTGTGGAGGAAGGATCTTGCTTTTCTGAACTTCGTGTTGCTTTTTGTTCCATCTTAGTCTACCATAAGTCTTCATTTATTCATTGATGAGTGGTCCGTGTGCAGTACAGTTAGTTGCCTTCCATAAAATGGAACACCATTCCACCATATTTTAGCATCCTAGTACCTTCCTCCCTTTCCAACAATTAACTGTATTTGATGTGAACTCTAATTTGAAGAAGGCAGCCCTGTTTTTCTGCCATACTTTATTTCAAAAAAAAAAAAACCCACTATGTATACCCTTGATTACTTTTCATTGACTTCATGTCAGTGAAAACCACTTTATCAAAAAAAAAAAAAAAAAAAGGGGGGGGGGGGCTTCCTGTGTATTTGTACAGCTGGAATATTAAATCTCTATTGTCCTTGTGGCTGCCATAGTGGCAATCTTGTAGAATTCATGCTATGATTACTGAAACTATCTGAAGAAAAAAATAACAGTGCAAGAGTTAAAGGAGTTACATTAGTTACGGTTGTAACTTACTGAGCTTTTTAGTCTTCTGGCTGCTTCCCTGCTGATGAGTGTACCAGGTATATCTTGTGTATTGTATCTGGAAGGATCACAGCACCAATAAGAGACATCAGTGGAATCAGAGTTCTTTCTCTTTGAACCTCAGATGGCTATAGCTCTCTGTTACACTTATGCTTTCAGTTGAGGTTGTAGTGGAATGCTTGGGAAAATTAAATCTGAGTCTTTCTCTTAACTTTTCTGTTTGTGTTCTCCTTAGAAGAAAAGTAACTGAATGACAATTGAATGGGTCAAACTAATTTTTAGAGAATAAAGTAAGTATTTGGACTGTCTTAGTATAAATTCTGACTACTTAGTCATCAGAGCATTGTTTATTGACATTTAATAGGTTTTTATTAGATGCAGTCTGTGTTTCTTATGGAATTAATATTTAACTTATGCATTTTTCAGAAGAAATCAGTTCACTCAGAAGATCCATTTAATGATGAACAACGTGAGCGGCATGAAGTAGAAGTGCTAGCCAAGAAGTTTGAGGCAAAATACGTGAGTTACTGTACCTGTATTAAAATATACAAATATTTAATAGTGATAAGTTATGATGCTATAGAGATGTTAACATCAGGTTTTTTTTTCCTGAATAGGGTTGCTAATGTAGTGTCAAATGACTTCTATACATTTTGGAGCTGACTGTCTCATTATATTTCATTTAAGCAGCTTGAAGCTGCTACAAGCTTATTAGACAAGTCTGCTAAATAGATTTGTCTATAGGATGTTATAGCTTGTGAAGCTATTCTTGGAAAAGCTTCCTATATAAATACAGCTGAGTAATAGGTGCAGGTCAATATTCATGATAAATACTATGCTGGAGGAAAGAATTTTTATGTAATGCTATTGTGCACTGTTGAACAGCTCTTCTGTTTGGGCTAAATACTGATGAATCTTGATGGATTTCTGACTAGTTTGGAATGCTTCCATAGGAAGTTATTGTTGAATAATAAGTCATTGCTTGATGAGTTTATCTTGTAGCTGCCAGATGCCTAAAGATACTCTGCTGACTCCTGAAAGTGTAGCATGAATGACTTGAACAACACTAGGTAGTAACATAAAGAGGCTTTTACTAATAAATGAAGGTAGAAATCAGAAAATGTTGCCTAAAACCACACCCAAACAGGCCTTTAAGAATTCATATGGGTAGGGCTGGGTGATTAATTCTGAGATGGCAATCAAAACTCATCATCATGCTTAGGCATGTTGATATTCTGGATTACTAATAGAGCACCTTAATAATAAAGAAGGGAAACAAGAACAGTCATTTGTATCTTTTGCTATTAATATACATATTAAAATCTTTCTTGTCTGATTTATTTGGATTTTTTTTTTTCTGGCAAAGGCAGATTTCTCTGAGTGCCCAGTCTATACATTCTGTAGAAGTAATTATTATTTCAGGGCATGTTATCTGTGATACATAACAAAAGAAACCCTTAAACTGAAAAGAATCATTTTCATCTTTTGGAGGGATTGATGGAACCCAATATGTCCAGTGAATTGAGAAGGCAGTTCCAGAGTACTGTTTGCTTTTCATCTGAATGATAAATTATTTTTTGAATGTGAGAGAAAAAGGTTTCAACTGTACTTTTCTAGAAAACTCATTTCCATAATACAAGTTAAGGATTTCATAATGTCCTGAAACAAGTTGCTTAACTACAGCAGATGAAAGTCAGTGTAGAGCATATAAGGCAATATATGTAGGAGAGAGTGGTAGTGGAAGCAATCTGATTTTACATATATATAAATTTACATTTATGCATGCATCAAAGCTAAACATGTACATTTATGGACAAAACATGGTGTTATTAGACTTAGGAAAACTTGAGTTCAATGCTCAGTAGTTATAAAAAGGGGCAAATAGATACTTTTAACAATTAGAAAGCAGTAGGTAACAAAACCTGTCATTTTACAACAGTTTAAATTCATGGTGCACTTGTATCTTGATTACTATTTGCACTTCTGATTTCTTGCCTTTCTCTCATTCTCTGCCATACCTTCTGCCCCTCAGCCCCACAAAATTCCTGGAAGGGGAATGTCTTCTATCTAAAGGACAACTTACTAGGTTAGGGCCACTAAGCATGGAGGGTGGCAAGGGATTAATAGTTCTTGTGTTAGGTACTCCCTGTCCTTTCTCTCTTCCAATGAGAACCATCAGTCTCTACTTACTGTCCATGCTCAGAGGAATTGCATCTTTGTACACTGACCCAGTACAACTGCTCGTGTTCTGACAACATCCAGCCATCTTCTGATTCTTGTGGTGAGACATTCGCTCCTTAGCTTAAACTAGAACAGGGATCCCATGAAGCAGATACCCATTCTCTTCTCTTTAACAGTGCTTTAGTGTAAAGGTGATCACTGGTTGTATGAGAAAGAAGTAGAGGGGTTTTTTTTTTTTTTCAGATTTGCAGGAAGTACCATATCCTCTTTAAACTAATTAGGTATTACTTACCTATATCCACTTAAAATGGAGTCAAACAATCTTTTTAATCATAGCATGTGTGGCAGTACTTCTGAAAAATTTGATGCATGAAGAAGAGTCTTCCTTGAAGACTTTTTACTACTTTTAGGATAAATTCCTGTATTCATAATCAAATCAGTACAGTATTAGATATATCTTGCAGATACTAAGAAAAAGCCTATGCATAAATACATTTTCATAAAAGAAGGTGCATAAAGTTAATGTACCATTTGTTTACTTGATTATTCAGAACTTTTTTTGCAGTTGCTGCACGTTTTAAACACCAGCATGTTCCAAATGGTTCACATTTTCATTCTTTTGATTACTGTTATTCTCTAGACAAAATGAAACACTCTGCGTTGTCAAAACATGACAGTGAATCTCAGACAATATTGTACCTAATGTAAGAATTTTTATTGGATCAAAACAAAGGTCCATCTAGTGGACGGTAGCATAGTCCTCTGATGCTAGTGGAATGTCATACTTGAAAGTATAACAGAATAAGTGTGCATTGATATTACTTCACTGTGCCTGTCTAGCGATCTGTGGCTTAATTTCTCCCAAAGCCAAAGGCTGCATGTTTAACTACTGTTCGTATAGCTTTCTGCCATAAATTTGCCAGATCATTTTGAGTTCACTGAATTTCTCATTGTGTTCCATGGCACTGAGTACTGTGATCATTATGTCATATGAAAACATACTTTGTGTTTAAACCTGATAAGTTCACTTGGTGCTCCATAGTTTCTGTATTGTAAGAAACAGTGGCATATTTCCTGTTCTTCTGCCTGCTGCATGTGATTCTGATGCTATCATCTAAATTCAGTCCTTTCATTCCCCAGCTGAAGTGTCTTAACATTCTGTTATTCTACAGAAGCACTGTTTTTTACCTTTAAACATCCTTGTTGGCTTACTGTTCCCTTTTTTGTTCTAATTTCCTTTTTTAAATGAAAGGATATTAATGGTAGGATGCCCTGATTTATCAGTGATACAATGATGACTTCTGGTTTTGTTCTCTGTTCCTTTTCTTCATAAGTCCCAATTCTTTTCTTTTTTGACCACTCTTAATTGTTAAGCAAATGTTGTAGAACTGTGTGTAACAACTACAGTGCTTCCTGAACAGCATAACAAATTGGGAGTACACTGTATTTTTTCTTGCTTGGATTGTACTTCCTTTGTGTGGATTACCTTTCTTTTATTGATACTGAATTCAACTGATGACTTCTCATACTAAGTTCAGAGCAGCTGTGAGGTCTTTCAGTGATTCTTCAGTTGTCTTATTTACTATCCTCAGTAATTTCTGTTGTCTCACACCCCCCCTCAACTGTTAGCCCTCTCTATTACTTCTAAAGATGAATGAATACACATTCCTTGGTGATTTCACCAATTACTTTCTTTGCCAAAATGAAATATCTATTCCTATCTATACCCTATCTTTCCTAGCCCTAAACCAGGCATTATTAATTTGAGTGGACCTTCCCTCTTATTGCATGATAGTTTCTTGTCTTTAAAGATGTTTGGACCTTTTTTAAAGCATTTGAAGTACTGCTTCATTCTACCAAAATTCTTTCCTGCTCTGGAATGTATATTCTTGTGCCTGCTGGTTCTGTTCTTTATAACTTCTATTAACTTGCCCAATATAGAGATCAGATTTACTGGTTTATAGACTCTGCTGTGGTCCTTAGAAGAGTCTTCAAAAATTGGCATTGTATTTGCCACCTTCTAGTCCTGTTGCACAAAGGTTGTTTAAACCTCAGGTTACATGCCACAGTTACTTTGTTGAACTCCTATTTGAGTTTTCTGAATACTTGCATGAGTACTAATTGCAGCCTCAGGAACTGGACATCTTAATTTACTCTAGTATTATGACTGCTTATGTTCTGGGACAGAAAGGTTGGAGGAACTCTTTTGGGAAAGGTGAAAAGCTTCAGTGGTAAAACCTCTCTGAACTGCTGCATAGTAAACACTGATGCAGATAATCCCTTCAGTTCTTCTGCTGTGGTCTTGCATCCTTAACATCTTCATCATACGGAGTTTCAACACACTTCCTTAAACATAACTGGGTAGAACCAGGCCTGAAGGAAATTCTGTAACTTTATGTACAGTGGTTCAGCTATTTTCATATGTCTGAATACAGGTTACTATTTTAATTCTGCTTGTATTCATTCAGCTGTTATGAGACTTCTTTTTTGTTACTAACTTTGTTCCATATCTGCACTATGTTTTTATGAATAACAGGCAGTCAGAATGTATTGAGGGGTTTTTTTTAATGCCCATACACTGAAGTCGCAGAACCAAATAGTAGCCATTGCTGCAAAAGGATTTTGGACTCACAGGCAAGGATGTTGATGGTTACTCAGGCTTAGCAAGAGATGTGGTACAGAGGTGGATTGCATTACATGTTAGTGAGATCAGTAGAGGTAAAGTATAGTTTATGCAGCATTCTTCAGACAGCGTGCTGGCGCCTCGGTCAGAATCGTGAGAATTACATAAGCTTTTGCACAGGAGTTTAAACGGAATTCTTCAGCATTACCTTTATTTTTCAACGATTGTTTTTTTTCTTCTATAATCCAAACTCTTTTTTTAAAAAAGAAAAAAAAAAAACTGCATGTTTTGGGAACGTGCAGTCATTCAGATGTTTTACCAGGTGAGTGACAGTAGGGGATGATAGGACTGATAGGAAGAGTTAGGAATACTTTGCTTGGGAACCTGAGGCTTGGAATATAGCTTGGAAACCTGAATTAAAACTAGAACTCAGTTTTGAGGTTTTTCTCCTAGGACTATTGCATGCATTTATTTAATTATACTTGAGAGATTCCTCTTTGCTTGCAAGAGTGCATGCTTTACTTAGTTACAAACTTAAATGCTTGCAAAATATTGTTAAAATAGAGGTGTTCAGATGCTTACAACTGGAAAGACTCACACTTATTCTAGACATGCCTAGAACTGTAGAGTACAGGCAGAGAAGCTTCAGGAGCAAGTCTTCTTGAATTCATGGAAGAACACTGGTTGCCACTTTAGTGAAAGTGGTGCCTTTTGGAGAATTTTATCTTTTAAGACTTTTATATTGACAATTTTGATGATATATGGGAGTCAGAAATCTAGGCCTTACATCCTAAGCAGATTCCCATTTGTGTAACTGTAAGTTAAGATTCTCTGAATGTTTGAGCTGGGTGTGAGTTTTTGCTTGACTTGATTTAACAATAAAACTTTCACATGAGAAAAGTATTTGCAGGTTAAAATGAAGTTTACTGTCTCCTGGAGGTAAGTGAGCCACAGTCTGTAATGCAGCTTCTGGCTTTAAGTTACTCAAGTAACCATTTCACATCCAGTCCTGTCAACTGAGGTGATGGCTCTTGCATTTCAAAGGGTTTTATCTTAATGTGATTTTCTTCAGTTATGTCATATGAATGCTGTAACTTCTCAAAAACTCATAGACAAGTACATCTTGCAAGTACCAGATCAATATTTTTCTCTTTTGACTGAGGCTTTAGGCTTCACTTTTCTATAGAGAAGCAATCCATCTTGTGTGGAGAAACGCTTTACTGAATGCTAGGCTGTCAGTATTTTCCTTTGTAATGACTCTGTAACATACTGAAAAACTTAACACTTTCTAGATTATCCCAGTCCTTCTATCACTAACAGTTCTATCACTGTGTTTTAAAGACATAGGACAGTGAAACATCTCTAAATAGGAAATGTTAGGAAGATCTCGGTCATGCAGAAACCAGGTGGCTAGTGAATACCTTTCAGGGATGATTCTGGTGAGGCTATAGTAAAGCATATTTGCCAGAACTCATTCCTGTGTGAAAGTTTTTATTAGTCATATAGACCATTCTCAAGGAAGCATCCAAGAAAGCAAAACTGCTAATTCCCTGAATGACCATCTCTCCAATGCCTTATGTTTTACAGACTTTAGTACATTGCTTACCCATTTCCCAGATGATATAACGCTTGCTTTGTTTTCAGGGTGGAAAACCCCACAAACATCGGAAGGATCGCCTGCAGGATCTAATTGATATAGGTTATGGTTATGATGAAACGGACCCTTTCATTGATAATTCTGAAGCGGTAAGTAAGCCTCATCAAAGCCAGAAGAAGAAATAAGACAATGCTTTATTTTTTTGATAAAGAAGAAAGGTAAGCGAAAATCTTTTGTGCCTGTGTATAACTGGTATGGATCCAAAGGGCATACTACTTTGGGAATCCAATGGATGATTGTATTTGTAGTCTCATTCAGATATTATGCACTGCAAGAATTAAGAAAGCTGTTGCTATATCACATAATTTTCCAGCTTTAGAAATTATTTTTATTTGTGCCCTTTATTTACGGTGGACTGAAATTACAGTGGCTCTGTTTAGTTTCTTGTACTAGCTGTCTGGATTATTAGTAGATTACTGGTATTAGATTTCCTGCATTAGATCAGGAAGCTATTCTGCTCTCAAAAACCAGTAAGAATAGGATGGTTATTCTATACATTCACCGAATATGTCTGAAAAATTTCAGATAAAACAGCCTGGTTAAACAGCAGGATATTACACCTTATTTTGTCTGAATGGTTTTCAGAAATGAAAACACATCTCAAGGTAAAAGAAAAAGGTATTAGGTAGAGGCAATATCAGGAATATCAGGAGGTTCATAAGAGGGCATTTGAAGATACCTTAGAGGTTATATACAAAGTTATGAAAATGAGGAAGAAGCTTGGAAGAGAGTGTGGATTATATTAAAAACTTGGCGACTTCCTGTAATTTTCCTTTATTAGATGTCAGGAAGAAGTAGGTGTACTGTTTAGTCAAGTAAAAAAAAACCCAACCAAAAAAACCTGACACTTTAGCCAGCCCTCAGTTTCTTCCACTACTGAGTGACGCTGGACAAAGCAGCAACAATCTGCTGCTCTGAAGAGGAGGGAGCTGAAAGTCTGAGTGTTGTCCCAAAAGCAGGATTGTTCACATGGTGTGCAATATGCCAATATACACACAGAGCGGAGGTATTTTATTTAATTCATTTCTGCACAGAGATGGGTGCTAGTTGGTAATTCCACAAAGCTAGCACACCACACACAGGAACAACCATGTATTTACCCTGTTACATGATTAGTAAAGACCCACCTAAATTTATGTTCATTGGTCAGTAATTACCATTCCATCTACTGTTGGTTAGCTACATTTAAATTAGCCTCGCTTGCTATGTAAATTAGCATGCATGCTCCCTACAGGTTGGGGGGAAGGGGCAAGTCCTTTCGGTCTTAAATTGAGTTGGTGGTCTTGATCTCCCCCTGCTGCTTTCACCTTTCCCCCAGTTACGGTGCTTCAGCAATCATCCAGTTTTTCGGTGCCTTCTGGGGCAGGATGTTTCCTTTTAGCAGTTTCTCAGTTCCCCTTCAAGGTTATAGCCACCAGTTCTTTTCATAGTTGATAGAGTAAATACTTCCTTATCTCTTAGCTCCTCCCTCCAACTGCCAGATCCTGTTACACATGGTTCATTGTTTTTGCTCAGCAGAAAATTCCATTTTCTGCGGTCTATCATGAGTGGGAGAGGAAAAATGATGAAAAGGAGTTGGGAGAAGAGAGTAAGAAAAGCACAGAAGTGAAGTGCATTGCTTAGCATACATTATGTCGAGCCTTCATTTGAATGTGGTAGTATATCCAGGAAATTATAAAACTTTGTAAAGAGCTTCTGTGAACACTGAGCTGTGAGGTTTCTAGCATATAGATGTTGCAATGAATACTGCTCTCAAGAACTGTGTGAGGCACTCACAAGGTGTGCTGCAGAACTGGTACCTTCTTGAGCGAAAGAAGCTTAGCTCTTAACCACAGTGGATAGCAGGCTGAGCTTGTCTGTGTGTATTATTAGTTTTTGAAGTAGGTCTGAAGGCATGTGAACAAGTTGCATGAAAAGTGAGTTTGCTGTAGATGCTTATTGTAGCTTGTATTAATTTGTCCTTTTTCTTGGTCTAGATTAAAATTTTAGTTGAACTTGCCAGTATTAAACTGTCCTATGATTATCCCTCAACTTTTGGTTGTGCTGCTGGAACAATATTGGGGCCTAAGCCTTGGCATGTCCTTTCCAAAGGTCAGATTCTGATATTCAGCTCAGTAAGAACAGATGTGTTTCACTCCTGCTGAGAAACCACTTGAGCATATAGGCTTATCTGGTTTCTCACTGTTGCTTAAGTTAACCATCCTCAGTTTTGAAATTTTATGATACAGGACCCAAGTTGTATCTTGGTTTTTATGGATATATTGTGACCTATCACAATCTGATATGTGATTCAGATAACTTTCAGGACTCATAGTACAGGTCTCCATCAAAGTTGTACATGAGTCTAGCAGGGTTGAACACTCACTGGTGTATTAGTACTTCTTATGCTGTACCTCCTTTTTAGTGCTGTTCTTGTTACCAGCAGCAGATCCGTTAGATTTGCAGGAGCATTTACTTCTGATATCTCTTGCTAGACTCCTTGCAAGAACATACAAAAGGCAGTTGTTAGAGGACCAGATGGTTGCATCATGTGGTAGCTGTGGAAGCTACTGGGGAGAATGGTGTATTCTCTAAAGATTGCTCTCCTGAACAAATCATTATGCCTTGTGTCTGCATTACAAATACAGACTAGTGAGAGGCCATCTCTGTTTTGCTTTTATCCACATTTCTATATAGAAAAGGGGGAAAAAAATACGCTGTGTGCCAGCTGCAGTCTAAGTTGCGGTTGCAGAGCTTAAGGATCCTGTAATGCAGGAGTTAAGTTCAACAAAACCTCTCATTCCATCTCAGATGCAAATGGGAAGCGTTCAGAAAAAAAGGTCTACGTGTCTGGCTTGCTCATCTTCTGTGTGGCCAGCTATTAAATCACTGTGTACCCTGAGAAATGTCAGAGCCAGGCCTAGCCTGGACTTATCTCCTTTTTGAAGATATACTTTCTTACACATAAAAAGCTATAATTTCCTGGGCACAAACACTTGAAAAATGAGTATGAGTGCTTCTTGAATTGTTCCTGGATTGGTGTCCTGTTGTCTCCCTCTGTATCCCAGAAAAAAATAATTGAAAGCTTCCTTAGAATTTTAGTCCTCTTTCTTGTCACGGGTGTGAAAGAAATACTGAGCTCTTTGGCACTAAAATGGATTTATTCCATAGCTTTACAGATATTTTCCTTCTAAAAATAGATTTTGAGGTAATACCATCAAATATTATTCAAGAAATCAAGCCAATAAAACTCTAAGCCTGTTCTTAGCAGGCATTGTAATTGAGTTAAGGAATTCTGCTTCCTTCGGATCCATTTCCAATTAAACAATTTTGTACACGTAACATAGATGCATATGTAACAAATAGCATATGTAACAAGCATTTGGGTCCTCCAGGGATCCAGGAAGGCAATTGTTCTGCTCGTTTTCTTGAGGGTCAAGTACAGGGAATCTGCTAATGGCATGATTCTCAGGTAATGGATTTTAATGGGGCTGGACATGCTTTTCTGGAGGAAGGTTCTTGCAAAGTGTTGATAGAAGGGAGCTTCTCCTAAGCAAAGAGACTCTTCCTGTCAGACTCCTCAAAGGGCACTGGTACCTGCCGTAATGAAGTAGGGTAAATTTTGGGCTGCTTAGTAGGCTAGATTGCTATTGTTTACCTTCTGTGAAAATGAAAACCATGCATGAGATTCTTACAGATTTATTTCATTGTTTACTCTGGAAAGAATCAGTACTTTCCTACAGCGTAGTAAAGACCTCAGCAGCATAGGACTATCAAAGTCTTTGTGGCTAGTGAACACAGAAAAGTAAGGGCTTCTCCATTCAGTGGACTCAAACATCAAGCCAACTAAAGGAAAATATTGGAGAAAGGTTCTTGGGTACCCTATTACTGTGACACAGTCAATTTCTATTTCCTATCTTCCTGAAGACTTGTCTCCTCTTAGAGGAATAAGTACATAGTTACAGGTTGCTGTTTGCTTTGGATGTATCTGGTATGTATGCTGTTCAGTTTTTTTTACCTTGCTGTCCTCTTTGGAAAATTTTTAGCTGGTCCTGTCTAGAAGAAGTGGCTTTTCCTCTCTGAATGCAATTGCAGGCAAGTGGGAAATCCATGCTTCAGTCTATACAGTGGATATTTTTGTGTTGAACATTTTGACTGTAGTTAGTGGGTTGTAAACTCTTCATGCCAGAAAAAAATGTAAATCGGGACCATCTTACTGTTGTTTCTAACCACTATGTAGCGGTTAGTTTGATGGCAAGTCCTAATCTTTGCTTATCTTAAGAGAGCTCTGTGGTAGTAATACACGAAATGTTCATAACCTGCAAAGAAAGCTGTCCCTCCTCAGTGTTTCCACTGCTTTGATGTTGAAAATAGGTTTTGCTATAGTGTAAACTGTCCAGAACTACATTCTTTGTGGAATGGTATTCCTGTAGATTTCTGTTTCCCCTATGTTCATCCTGCATGCACACATATGCATACACATGCATATCAGCATGGTTTGGCTGGACTACTAGCTCTTGCGATGATCTCTGAATATTCGGCTGGTTGAATACCTTCCTGACAATGTAAGCTTTATATAGATAGAGATTCCAGGGGAATACAGTGCTCTCTGAGCTTTCTGCTATGTAATATAGAACAGGGATCTGAAGTAATGCATGGTGCTTAGTGAAAAAGTATGCAATTTTCTCTTACTCAGAGGTAATGAGACTTGCACATCCAAAACAAAGACCAGCACCTTCCCCCATGTTGGGTAGATGAACACAGAGGAAGAACCATCCACCTAGAAATCTGTAAGCAGGGCAAGCTGTCTCTTGAAGCAGTGATACCAGGTAGCCACTGACAGGAACTGAACCAAAACATGACTGCCAAGAGCAATAGGAAGCATGCAGTTCAGTACTTCGGACACCCAGTATTGACGTGCCATTATGTTAATATTTAACCCAGTCTACTATATTCATGGCTCCACAGCAGCCTTCTAAACACTGGTGTAAGAGGCCTGCTGCTGGGTAGAGAAAGCTAGCTTACCAATGGTTTCTTGTACATGGAAAGTTTCTCCAAAACAGGTACTTCAACTTAAAGGAAAAATTAGTTTTTCTTTAGCTATGTCTTG